GCTTGATTGCGGAGGGCAAAACGGAGGAGTCAAAAGCCGATTTGGAGCGCCTAGCTCTGATTCGTGCCCGTCGGGAGCAAGAGGCGGCTAAACGTAAAGAGGAACAGGATCGCAAGGCGGCCGAAGCAGCTGCAAACAAAAAGACGGCCGCTCGTGTCGCTTCAACCACCAAAAAATAGAAGGCAATCTCTGGACCCTACTCTATGTCCTCTATCTCTGTTGAATTTTTTTTCATTTTGTGTATAAAACTTGATAATAGAAACACCTTTCTCTTTGCCGCATTTGAACTTGAACAATCGAGTGAGATGATGCCACGTGATGATGTTGACCTGAATGACGTTGTCCTGGTAGCAAGCTGAAGCGAAGAGCAACACAGGTGGCGGCGGCAGCAGCAGCCACCGCATCAGCAGCACACTAACAACAAAGCAACTCTAATCGGTCATGTGGTGATGAGCGTTCACGACTTCAAGAAGAAGTGCCGGTGCCCTCACACATGATATATTTGCTGGTTGAGACTTCGCTCGTCAAGCTCGCCGTCAGTCTCTTTTCATCACCGCATCATCCCTTGTCACCCCCTTCTCGACACAGCCACAGCCATGACCACTGCCGCCGCCGGAACGGAGAACGTGGCCGACGTCCTACTGCTGCGCATACTGAAGGAGTTGCCCCTGCGAGAGGTCCTGCCGCTGCGGGCGGTCAACACCAAGTGGAAGGCGATCATCGAGACGAAGATTTGCAAGGAGAAGAAGTCCCTGAAGCTCTTCGGCTCGGTGAAGGCAATGCTCGACTACTACCAGATGGCCATCACTCGGGAGTACAGCCTGCAGGTTTGTTGTTGTGCTTTTGTGTCTTATTGTGTTTACCCACTAACACTCACTCCCTTCCAAACAAAAAAGGGTATTCCAGTTGAAGTTAATCGGCATATCGTCGTGAAGAAGAAGAAGCCTCTCCAAGGCAATCAACAAGTGCTGAACATAAAGAACTTGTGTGCGTTTAAAGACCTGCCTGCTATGTCTGACCTAAAGTTCTCTCGCGGCTGTAAGCTGCCCGAAGATGATTACCTGTTCTTCACGCCGTACAGCACCAAGGCGGTCAACCTGCTGTTGCAACTCTTCCCCGCAGTGGAGCGCCTGGTGATCTACCACATTGGCTGCTTCAGTGAGCGCTACTTTCGCCTGCCCTTTCGCATGCCCTCGCTGAAGAGCCTGGAGATGTACGAGAAGAACGCCACCTTCGGTGAAAGCTCCGGCCCCCGGTTCTGGGCCAACGGTCTGAGCAACGAACGAGCGACGCAGTTTTCATTTCGACCTGCCCACGAGGACATCAGCGCCTCGTACCGCTACCTCTACACGCGTGCCCTGGATCACCTTGAAGAGCTGACACTGGACGGCGTCTTCCTCGGCAAGTACTGCCTCTGGGAGCTGCTGCTTGAGGTGGGCGCCGGCGAGAAGATTGCCCTGAAGCGGCTGAAACTGTCGCGGTTCGCCCCCAAGCAGCTCACGTCGGGTCGGGCGCTGAAGGCAGTGGCCAGCGCCCAGATTTGCCAGCAACTCACTCACCTGACGGTCGATTCACTCAACTGCGACCTGCTGGACTTTTTCATACAGAAGTTTCCGCACCTCGAGTACCTGGACATCGGCGTCGAGCACGGGGTAAGCGGCGGTTTGCTCGTTCCAAGTTTCATTCATTCAGAAGTTTGTTTTCAATCTCTTGAAATCTTTTTTTCAGGTAAAAAGCTATGACCTTTTTGCCAGCATCTTCCACTGCCGAAAGCTGACTGAACTTCGGCTGATCGCCACTGACAGCCACTTTCTCACTCCCCTCAAACTGAACTACATCTTTCTGCCGTACACCTTTCCGGCAGTTAAGAAGCTCCAACTCTACACTAGTCAGATGCCTCCCGGAGGTGTCGATCTGTTTCGGAAACGAATTTTTCCCACTGTTGAAGTTCTGGTACTGGACACTCCTTTTTATTAACTTTTCTTGTAGTGTTACCAGAGGTCACTCCAACTTATCATCATTGAAGGAGGAGAAAGAGAAAAAAGGCTCAAGTAACTCGCCCGCCCTATTTATTTCACCAAACTTGCACATTGTGAGTGTTGTGGATGATGAGTTTGCTTACAGTGTTTAATAAATTATGAGAATACGCTAAAGTGGGCGCTAAAGTGCTTTGCAGCTCACCGCAGCTCTACTACTTTTTGCGGCTGCTGGAGCTCACTTTGGAGCCTTTGCTGCTGGTGCTGCTGGTGTTTCTTTTAGCCAATTCCTTCACCGCTTTGCCCGCCTTTGCAGCCTTTGACACTTTGACACTGCTCTTAAGAGCAGCAGCGGCTGCATAGGGATGAGTCGCATTGAGGTTGGTGAACTGCGTCACCGTCGTCTCGTAGTCCGACGTCGAGGGAAGCTCCTGGGGCCCAGCTTTGGCGGGCAGAGCCTTACCGTTACCCGTCACCTTACCCGTTTTGAGGAAGGGACTCGTCTGAGCTACCGGCGTACTGCTGCTGCTGGCCACCGCCACCACCTCCAGAACTTGATTCTCCGCCGCCTCTGTTTTCCCACTGACCAACTTGGAAATGGGCGCCGTCTTCTTAGTCTTAGGCTTCTTCCTCGACGATGATGCCGTCCGCTTGGTGGGCACGTTTGTGCAGCATTTAGTGGCAGCGGTGCTGCCTAGTTTCTTTGAGTAGCAAAGGCAGTAGACGGTGACCAGTATGAAGATGAAGAGCAGCGCGAGGAAGGCGGATATGCAAACGATGAACAGCAGATGTTGAGCTCCATCCGAATTCGACGGAGTGGTCGAGTCATTGGGGATAGTGGTGGTGGAAGGTACTGTTGGTACACTCATTCTCATGCGATTGACTGATGCGCCTAAACTTTTTTGAAAGCTCAAGTACGCAAAAGTTGAATGGCATTTTTTCAGAGTATAGCTAATAGAATTTAGAATTGTCCCCAATTAGTCACTGCACTACTACTAGTTGTACTTATTTTCTCCGTAACGCCCGTACTTTTCTTTCACAGAGGAGCTAGCTGCCTCCAAGTGTAACAAGTCGATCGATTACGAGATGGTGCAATCGTACACTAACAGGAGTTTTTTCCGTCAGACAGTCAGACGGCTGCTTTCCCCTCCGTCTTCTTCTTCTTCCCCTTCCTCTGCAGCACTACCTTTACTTTCCAGCAGCAAACCTTGATAGAGGTGCGCATCTTTCCTTCGTTGGTGATAGCGATGCCTCCTTCTCCTTGCTAACCTAGAGACGGAGAAAGCGGCTTCCTCCGAGTTGTTTTGATGCAAGCACAGACTACTTTTGGCAGCTGTACAGCAGCAGCATCAGAGCAGCTGTTGTTGGCAACTGTCGTCGTCAGTCAGTCCATCATTCGATAACTGATGCTGAAGCCTGCTGATACAGCAACAGCCGCCAGCCAAATCACGAGTTTGTTGTGCTTTACCAACACCAGCGTCATCTGTTTTTTCCTCAGCACTATCTCCTCCTTCTCCTCCTCCTCAAGATGCTGATGACCTTCCACCTGAACGCCCTGCCCGAGGACTGCCTGCGACTGATTCTGGAGAAGGTCACCCTAATGGAGCTGCTCTCACTGCGACTCGTCTGCAGCCGCTGGCGACTGGTCATCGAGCAGATGTGCCGCCGCCGTCGCTCGCTGGCGGTCTTTGAGTGCCTCCAGGACCAGCTGGAGTTCAGCTCCATGCGATACTACTTCCTCGAGAATGCTGCCGCCGCCGGGGAGGGGCAGAGGGCGAGGAGCTTCGCCGCCGGCGACAGTGTGCTGATCATCGGCGGTGGCGGCGTCCTCCTGCGCCACCTCGCCGACCTCTTCCCCAACGTGAGCAGTCTGCTGCTGCTGTACAGCCACGCCTGCCTCACGCTCACCGAGCGGCCGCCACCGCCCTCGCTCACCTCCCTCACCATCGTCTCCAAGCGTCGCTCCACGGAGATCGCCGCCAAGCTGTGGTCCTGGATCGACGACATCGACCGTCTGCGCAGCCTGTCCCTCTTCGGCCTCTTCGACAACCGCCTGCCCCTGCGCCTGCAGGCCCTCTCCCGACTGGAGCTCTTCTCCCTCAGCGGCTACTCAGACGACCTGGTGCCAGTTGTGGGGCAGTTCGGCCCGCGGCTTCGGCACCTCCTCCTCGACCGCCTGTCGCTGCCGGTCAGTCGGCTGGAGACGCTGCTCCGAGAAAGCGCCCAGTGCCGTCAGTGGGCGGCCGGTGTGCGCCACCTCTCCATCGGCTCCCTCAACACGGGCATGGTCTGCGCCAAGGGCTATGTGGAGAAGATCACCCACTTCCTCGCCTTCTTCTGTCGGCACTTCACGCAGGTCACCTCACTTCAGGTGCGCTTTGCGCTGCAGATTCCCCTCGGCCGGCTGGTGGCGGAGCTAGGCCGACTGCCCGCCCTCACCGAGCTGCGACTGGCGCAGATTGGCTCGAGCAACCCCCGGACAGAGCCCGACCGGCGAACGCTGCAGTGCCTCACATCGGTGCGGCGACTCTTTCTGGAGTGCACCACCGCCAAGGCGGCGCAGGACACCTTTTGGAAGTTCTGGATTCCCGTCATCTTCCNGCGCAGATTGGCTCGAGCAACCCCCGGACAGAGCCCGACCGGCGAACGCTGCAGTGCCTCACATCGGTGCGGCGACTCTTTCTGGAGTGCACCACCGCCAAGGCGGCGCAGGACACCTTTTGGAAGTTCTGGATTCCCGTCATCTTCCCCAACCTGGAGACGTGGAGCCTGGCGCCGGAGTGTTCATTCAATGGACAAAGTGGCAGCTCTTGTGGCAGGCGACTGAATCATATGCGCGTGCAGTAGCGTGAACAGGATATGGTCATTGGCTAAAATAGTTTTGACTGTATAACTACAAAAGTAAAAACAAGTATTGTATTAAAGTATGGAAAATTAGATCTTGAAGGGACAACAAAGTGTGTGTGGTTGTGTATGCACAAAAACAAACTTGAATAGTTAAACGTGTTCAAAACAATGAACAACCTAAGCATATCGACGACTTCGCTTTGACTTGTGAGCTGGACCTGGACCAGCTGTGGAATTGTTTGCAGAAGTAGAGGGCTTATCTAGGCCAAGTAGATAGTGTCCCATTTCTGCAGAAATATTGGAACCCTTAGAACATCTGTCGAAAAAGTTATCAAATTCAACCGATACTTCAGCGTTCAGAGTCGACACATTTGCAATAAATCGCCTGAGGAGAGAAAGATATAAAAGATAAATAGAAAAAACAACAAAATCACTTGTGTGTGAAACACCTACTTTCGAGCCGCCTTGGAAGCTATTTTGCCAAGTTTTGGAAAGTTGTACAGCTCCGATACTGTTAGCATTAGCCTGGCCAGCCCAGGCTTTTCAGCCTCAGAACAGAGAACTTTCTCGCAAATTGTCTTGAGACTGTCCAATTGATACTGAAATGTGTAAAAGAAGAGTAAACGAGTTGTTAAACGATATTCTCAAAATTCCAGAATTTCACGTCAACTTGCCATGACAGCGGCATCATAGAGGTCCAGACAGTACTTCCGTATCTCTGAGTCATTCAACTTGCCACAGTACATGTACCGGACCAGCAGCTTGAAAACTTCGATGGGCACCTCATTGATGATCACTTCGCCGTCGTTCGTCTCTATCATGTCATTCTGAAACATGGCTTTAAAAAACGGGTGATCGTAATTGCAAAATGAACTTGTGAGCATTTATGACGTGATGTCCACAAATCAGCTTGACATTGGAATTTTCTCCCGACTCGTAGGCTGACTCAAGAAGATTGGGCAAATCTTTTCCTCCTGTTTATACATCTGCTTAAGTGATGGTTCCCTGTCTTGTTTTGATTCACTAATGAGAATGTTCACCTGAAAAAAGGTATTCTGTCAAAAACATTTTCAAAATAGAAAAGTTTTAGCTTCTCACCTCAACTTTAATTGTCAACTTTCCTTTTGGCAACAGCAGACTGTTATTCAATAGATTCAATAGATTCAATAGATCTTTGTGACTCACAAAATGGTGCCACCCAAAATCAGAAGAATTTTGTTCTTCTTTTCGAAAGAAGCATTTAGTAAAATGCTTTTGACCAAAGACATCTAACAACGACATCTCGGCATTGATCACACGTTTTCCGTCGCCTTCAGTAGCGAGATACAGAGAGACAAATCTGCGATCTTTGAAACCTTCTCCTCAAGGGAGAACATCCAATCGAAACTATAGGCTTGGCACACATTTTGGAGAAGAGAACTTAAGCGACGTTATCTAAAGATATGAAGATAAAAGAAAGTTAGATTTACATAATTTCAATAAAACAGCAATCAGAGAAAAACCTGCCTTGGGATATTGGCCACAATAGGAGCTTGTGTTGGATAAAAACGTATCAAACTTGTCAATAGTCCAAGTTTGGCTGCAAGGAACCAGTTTAGTTTTACAAAATTGCTTTGTTGAAGAATTTTTTAAGAATCGTTTCCTTGAACGCTTCCTTTTAGTCCAATCATCAGAAGAAGATATATATTCAGAAGATGAGTCAAATGAGGTAGAATCAAAGGAATTAGAGCTGTCAGAGGAATCAGTTGAATCACTATCCTCATAGAACACATGTAGCCTTCTGCCTAAAAGATTCGGATTTCCGGCCGGTTCACCCATTGTTAGATCGTAAGATAATAATTTGATAATAACTAGTGTTTTTAATTCAAGAGCACATTGAGGATGAGTACTTGGTGAGCTTCCAATCCATTCAGAGTGAATTCATCAGCTGATGATGATCAGCACATCAAAAGGACAACATTTCAAAATAAAGACAAAGGCGGAGCATCCACTGCATCGCACTGCAAAAGGAGGTGCACCCGGTGCTGGTTGCCATTTGAGGGAGGGTACTGCCACCATCAGTTTAGACTGTGAAGAGCTTGTGTCGCGTACACCTTTGACAGTGCTTAGCGCTCCTCCCATTTTGCCGTGTAAGCAAACGATGCACTACCCCCTGCAGCTGGCAAACCGTTTGCCCAACAACACACTATTGTTTCAAAAGCCACATTGTGTACAACCGAAGTTTTCATTTTGTAATCGGCGTTCCAGCGTACCAGTCGACTCCAGGTTTGGGAATCCCTTTGAATCGCACACCATCGACCATGTCATCTCGTGACGGAGGCAAGAAGAAGCCGCTGAAGGCCCCGAAGAAGGGAGAAAAAGTTCTCGACGAATCTGATTTGGAGTTTAAGAAGAAGCAACAAGAAGAGGCGAAGAAGTTGAAGGAACTCGCCGCCAAGGCCGGCCAAAAGGGTCCCTTAGCTGGAGGAGGGATTAAGAAAAGCGGTAAGAAATGATCCCCTGACGGATTCCTCTCATCAATTGTGCTAAGGTGACGACAACAAAGCACAACAATGCACCATCAAAATTTTGCATTTGATGCTAAGCAAATTCTTGTAATTCCGCTTCTTTTTTACTTTGAACAATTAAAGTTTCATTTATAAGGTAACAGTTTTATTAATTTTTAATAGATAATTGTCATTACAAGAGATGTTTACTCAAGTTTTTCCATGTTATTACACTAAAACAAATCCAAGTGGCTGATAGGGTCTTATTTTCGTGTTTGCAGCTATCTACCGATAACCGAACTGACCTACAGACTGATATCTACCGGCAGTGAAAACCTATATCAGTCGTGAAGTTCAGTTCGATTATCAGTAGGCAAGATTTTGAAGAATCCAAACTGGGGAAAGTTGCATCGGTGTTTCATGAGACTGCCGAGAAATGGAAGAACCGCCCGACTGAGTTGAGTTGCTAAACAAATAAAAAACTTAGTCAGGACAGTTCTACCAATCCTCAGGACTGATCAGACAATGATGATGATGGTCGAAGTATTCTCTCTACCGTAAAGTAGTTACCCACAGGAAGCTTATGGAAATTTTTGAGAGAATACATAAATAAACTTCGAGTGGATAACAACTTAACGATAAGAGGAACTATCGTTGGACGCTGACCACAAGCTGAAATGAAGTTGATGACTGCTCGTTTGCTGATTTTAGACTGCGACTCAGTCGTGTTGATCGACTCGAATTTATACTTTTGCTTCGGAAGTAGACTATGAATCGTCCTGCAAGCTGTCTTTTTCTGATTCGTATGTTGGAGAGATTGACAAGGCGATCTAAAGTTCAAGTTGCGCTTTATGAAAATGGCAAATGTCAATCTCTGTCGTTTTATATTCGTTTTGGCAAACTAATTAATGAATCTGGGTAAAAGAGTGAGAGAAATGAATGTAGAGAAACACTGGTAACTAGTATGCGCTGGTTGTGGAGAGGAAAGATAAAGCCAAAGTTCGCAGAGCACCACTAATTACTTGTTGCTGCCCAGAAGTAAACTGAAAAGCACGAGATAACGAGAAAAGCTCATGGTCTAACTTTGAGTATTCTAGAAAAACCTTTAAAATGTTTTATTAACTGCAGTTCAACTTTGGAAACTATAATTTGTAATGCGTTACTGGACGAAAGGCATACGACACTGACATGAGGCTAGCTACCAGTTACTTACAACCACGTCGAACCTTAGCTTTTATGCAATGGGGGCAAAAGTTTGGATATGTTTCAAAACTCGTCAAAGAATCAAATTACCACATCAAATTAGATTAACCTGGTTTTGTAAGTTACAAATTGTAACTTTGAAAACAATATTTGAAACCCCTAATCTACCTTGATAAGTCATCTGCTGTTGTTCGTTTTAGGTTATAATAGTCGGTAGTTCATCACTGGTAGTTTTTTTGCAACAAGTTCATCTTACAGGGATTATTTTTCTCTCTCGAACACAATTTGCCACACTTGAATTATTCTAAATCTCAAGATTACAATGGAAGAATCGCTTTCAACAAAGAACGTCTACGAAGTTGACACTTTGAAGCTGCAAAAATGGTCAACAAGAAAACGACGGCTATCAAACGAGAATCTCGTTTCTGGTACATTTTATTTATCGATTTCTCGCTTGTTTTTCTAATTGCTTTGTTGTACTTTAGATCAACCGTTGAAAACTTTGAAAAGTGAAATTGAAAATGAGTTGAACCAAGTTACATCGCCAGTTCCAGTCGGTCCCGTAAGAATCCCTATCTTATGTGATGGCTTCAAGATTTACTTATTCTCCCCGTCCCATGGATATCCACCAAATACAGTGCTGAAAATGGAAAATGAGTCTCAAGAGGAGAAGAAAAGTGAAGAAAAGCGTGAAACGTTCCTGTGTGACGTTTGCTGGCGACCGTCCCACAAAATCAGTCTAGCCCTGCTTCACCTGAAACTCAGTCACCAGAAGTACTTTGAAGGATATGAAGGAAAGGCTTGAATTGCTCATTGATCAAATAAGGAATCAGTTTTCTCTACTTTTCAATACTCATTCCATCCTAAAGTATCTAAACATTCTGTACAGTCTTGAAAACAACTTATAATGAATCTTTATTGAAAGATGTACATACGAATCTAACATTTACAAAAACAAAAATGATACAGTAGATACCAGGATGAAGTTTCCTCACCATAAGAATTTCAAGCCTACTGCGAGACAATGCGAACCTTCCACTTGTCATTATTGGCGGTCACCTCCGAGCTGGGACCAATCAGACAGACGCCAGACTGCAGTGCCGGACTTCCAATGAGATATCTGCAAACAAAAAGAACAACAAACATGTAAACAATCAGGGCGGATGATCAGCAGGCGAGCCCCACACTACACTTACCGTTCAGCCACCTCTTGAATGTCGGCCTTGCCCACCTCGAGCAGTCTGAGCCGGTACTCCTGGCGCATCTCATCGGTGCGTCCAATGAGAAACTGCTCCAGACCGGCCTCGCCGGGCACCACCGGCGCGTCGACGCTCTGGAAGACCTGCAGCTTCGCCTCGTCAATCTCCGCATCGGTGTAGTTGTCGGTGCGCAGAAGCCACTCGCCCGCCCGGTCAAAGGCCTCCATCGTCCCGGTGACCTGCGGGTCGCGGTAGCTAAAGTAGCTGAAGACGCCGCTCGAATCAAACTTGGCGCCACCGCCGTAGGCGCCGCCCTTCTCGCGAATCTCCCGGTGGAGAAACTTGGCCGACACCAGACTGGAGGCGATTCGCAGCCGCGCAAAGTCAGGGTGGGAGAAGGGCGCACAGAAGACGCCCCGGGAGAGGTAGTTGGTGCTGAAGGGAAAGATAAAGTGCTCATTGGAGGTGCTGGCGTTGAGCGTGGGCATGACGATGGCAGAGGTCGTCGATTCCGCCTCGCCCACCTTCGCCTTCTCGCCCGAGCCGCCAATGTTGCTCACAAAGCTCTCCACGGTGGCCAGCGAGCTGCGAATGGCCGCCGCCTCGCCGTTGATGGCAATTCGCAGCCGCTTGCCGTTGAGCAGCAGCTCGGCAATCTGCTTCAGATTGGCCACCACTTCCTGCACCTTCTCCGGACTGGCGGCCACCAGGCGAAAGTACGCCAGACTGGACATTCCACTGACCAGCTCGCGCATCTTCATGGCGCCGCCAAAGCTGGAGGCGGCTCTCGTCATTGCGTACCGGTGGCCATTGTGCGGCACTGAGGCGGCCAGCTCAGCAGAGGCAATGCGAATCAGCTGCTTCAGGTGCTCGTGGTCGTCGTCAAAGCGAATGCGCCTGAAGAGCTCCGTCCACAGGGCGAACATCGCCTCGACATTGCGCTCCAAACAGTGGCTGCTGAAGGTGAGCCCCTGCTCGAAGCTGCCAAAGACCGTGTGGTGGTCGGCAATGTGCACGCCCACTCCCAGCCCATCGGTCCTCATTGACACTTCCTGGTCGAGCTTCTTTCGGTCCCAGGGACCGGCGCCCAGTTTGGTCATCACCGAGCTGAACAGCGGCAGAAAGGGAATTAACTTCATGGGAAAGGTTTCCGTCTGCAAACTGGTGACAGCGTTGAAGTAGACGATGCCGTTCGTCGGCTGGGCACTCCACTGCACCGGCACACCGCCCACCTTGTCCTTCTCAATGGCGGTGGCCTTGAAGCTGCGAGAGATGTCTCGGTGCACGTTCAGCGTCGGCAGAATGGACAGATCCTCGGTGGCCTCCTGTGCGGCCAGCAGCTGCTTGCCGTTCTCGTAAATCACCGCCCGGTCACCGTCCGTCAGCTTGGCAATCTTCTTCTCCAGCAGTGTCTTCTCCGCTTCAGCCAGCTTGCTCTCGTACGAGTCGCTCGGGCTCATTTCAATGACCAACTTGTGGGAGTTGTCAATAAAGTGCTCCCTCACCTTCTTCTGCAGATACTTTGGATCAGCGGCCAGAGATCGCTTAAACTGCTCAACATGCTCGTTTACCTGAAAGGAAAATAAAAAAATGATATTCAAAGTGTCCATCAAGCTGTGGCACATACCCGCAGACACTGAATTGGATCGACGCCATGGTTCCAGTAGGTGTTGAGATTCATCGCCAAACCGAGGCCAAAGTTGGAGCTCTGGTGCTTCGTGCCCAGTTCAATTCGATGCAGGATGGCGTCCACTCGCTCCATTGGAAATCCCTCGGTGTAGGCGTTCTTCAGCGCCATGTTGATGGCCTTCTGCACCGCACCCGACTGATCCGGCGCAATGCCCTGCAGGCCAATGGAGAACAGACTCTGCTTGGTGAACTTCTGCACGCCGCTGAAGGGCGCGTAGTCAGAGCCGAGGCCGCTGTCGATGAGGGCCTCGTAGAAGGGCGAACTGGGTCCGTCGGTGAGCAGAGAGCCCAGTATGGCCAGCGTAAAGTTCTCATGTGTGTCAGTGAGCGACTCGAGCATGTACGTCACGCCGAGGGTGGTCTGCTTGTCGGGAAAGGGCGCCAGTGGATCATTCTGGCAGCTCAGCTTGTCGTGCACTGCCGACTTCCAGCGAGTCTGCTCATTGACGAAACTACCCTCTGCCAGTTTGCTGTTCTCCTCAAAGTTGCCAATCACCTTGTCAATCGCCTCCAGGTGCTGCTCCAGGGGAAAGTTACCGTAGGTGAAAAAGCGAGAATTGCTTGGGTGGTAGTGCTGAGCGTGAAAGTCCTTCAGCTCTTCGTAGCTCAGTGAGGGGATGACCAGCGGGTCACCGCCAGATTCATTAGCGTAGGTATTGTCGGGAAAGAGCTTGTTGATGAGAGCACGGGTGTAGATTGCCGAAGGGCTCGACTATAAAATAGAAACTCCTTTTAGTAAATCAGTTAGCTAAACAAGTATAAATAACTTACAAAGACGCCTTTCATTTCATTGAAAACGACACCCTTAAAGACGAGCGGACTGTTGCGGTCATTAATGTCGGCGTGCTCCAGTCGCCAGCCCTCTTGAAGAAAGTCCAGCTGCCGGAGACGCGGGTGAAAAGTGGCGTCGAGGTAGATGGAGAGAAGGTTGTAAAAGTCACGGCTGTTCTGCGTGCTGAACGGGTACATCGTGTAGTCGGGCCCGGTGAAGGCGTTCATGAAGGTGGACAGCGATCGAGTGAGCATCTTCATGAAGGGATCTCGCACCGGGTACTTCGCCGAGCCGCAAAGCGCCAGGTGCTCCAGGATGTGGGCCACGCCGGTGCTGTTTGAGGGCGTCGTGCGGAAGGACACCGAGAAGACGTTGTTGCTGTCCTCACGGGCAATGTGCAGGTGCTCCGCACCGGTCCGGGTGTGTCGAAGTTTGTAGGCGGTGAGGCAGAGCTCGGGCACATCCTCGACGCTGGTCACTGCGTAGCCGTGAAGTTGATCGCCCACTTTCAGCGAGGCAGAGGTGTTCGGATTGACGGCGGCGGCAATGACTCGATGTGGCGCCGAAGAGTGCAACAACCGGGTCAACTGAGGCCGAAGAACGGCTGCCTGTCTGACCGCCACTTGAACTGATCGACTTGCTACCGGTCGGGTCGACCTAAAAACTCTGCTGCCCAGTTTGACACTGTTTTCAAAGAAGATTCAGTTAGAGATTTGTAAACTCCGAATTGACTACCACTGTCAACAAACCTTTGCCGTAATCGGTACATTGTGCTGGCTTGAAACAGTTTGATGGGGCCGGATGCGGAACAATTTTTGAGAAAAAAGGTACTTTGACACCGGTATAAAATGAGTTATTGAAGCTGTGTTGCAGGTTGCATCATGCAAAACACAATACAAGTGGGATTTTTTGTTGCACTTTGAAAACACATGTTCCTCAGCTGTGCATCGGTGTCTATCATTGCCAAGAGATGGAGTCACTGGAAAAAATACACAAAAAATGGTTGGATGATCAAACTTCAAAGAAAGTGATAAAAATAAGTATTTTTATTTCAAAAAAATTTTGTGAATTTACAAAGTAATCTTTTTTAATTTAGGAAACTCGCTTTTTAATTTAGAAACAAAAGCTTTCTTTTCTTGTGGCTCGGTAAACACAAAATCGTGTTTCAGCTCAAGAACTTTGATGTTTTTCCCGAACAATCCAATAACTTGCCAAAACTGCTCAAAAGTCAAGTCAAAGAATTCAATGTGAAGATTTTCAAGTGAAAGAATAAGTGGCAAAGAATAAATAGCAGAAAATGTGGCTGGAAGCTGGCTTTTTCCAATGTAAATTGCCAACGACGTCAGTTTTTTTAGTTTGCTCAAGCTTGGTATCACTTCCATCAAGGGAAGGTGCTCGCCGAACTGTGTTTGGAGAAATTTCAGGTAAGTAAGCTTTCAATTTTTTACAACTTACCATTAAGTCTAAAAACTCTATTTCTGTAAATTTTTCACAAGAGAGATGAAACAGTTTTTTATAGTTTTCAACTCGATTTTCTTTTGCCAACATATAGCCATAATCAAAGCCAATAACTCGTTGTGTAACTAATGGATTACACCTGACCAGTTCCTCCAGATGACTAGGACCAAAAAGAACGTTTGAGAGAATGAGCAGTATTTTGGAGGATATTTGTGCAAACACTCGAACAAGATTGTCGTTCGGGTAGTTCATCAACGCAAAAATTTGAAGTTGCGATATGATGGGAAAGTTATCCGGCAGGCGGTATTGAGTTGGAATTATTAGATGAAGTTTTTTTAGTGAGGTCATCCGATTGACTGTCTCCCAGAGCCGGTTTGTGTCGTCAATGCTTTTCGGCAGTGCAAACATGCCGTAGGAAACCAGCTGAGCACGCCATGGCTCAAGGAATCGAGCTATGTCTATTGTGCTGAAAGAACGGCAGTTTATCATCACGATGCTTACCTTTGGGAAACTACAAATGAAAAAGATGTCAATGTTTATTAGAAAAGTTTTAACTTTGTGTAATACCTTTCAGCTATTTGGTAAACGCTTTCACTGTTTGAGTTTTTAATGATGAGGACATCAGTTCTGTCGGACATGTTGAAATCTGGCACATGGTCCACATAGTGCTCTTTCATCATTTGGAAAAACCTCTGCAGCTCATAGTAGTTTCCAAATATTTTCAATGTACGCTTAGTCGTCAAGATGTGCCCAATGAGATTTTGGAACCTTTGGGACACCGCCTTTAACGGTACCAGATGTTCTAGTTCTAGTTGTTGTAGAATTAGTCGAAGGCAGTCGTCAGGAAGGGCTAAAAAATCCATTTTGAAAATAAAAACACAGACAGAGTGCTAAGCTTAGGTCTTTGTGGCGAGAGTACTCTTTCTGATGCAAGTGAAAGCTAACCACAACTAAGCAAACTAGACATGCTGATATACCTCAGTTGTCATGTGTTGGGCGATAAGAATTGATAGGATAGACTGAGATACAAATCACACAACACTATACATCAAAATAAGCGTAGTGTAAAGAAGTTTATTTTTGTGAAATCTAATGAATGGTTTAATATTTTATATAACAACAGTCTTCAACTCTGGTATCTCTCGTTTTAGGCGAGCGATAAAGTTAGTTTTTTCTTGATTTTTCTCAAACTCAAAGTCATGCTTCAGTTGAAGTTTTTTAAAGGTGAAGAGACCTATGATTTGCCAGAACTGCTTAAAAGTTAAACCACTAACTTCCAGATGCAAGTGATCAGTGGAAACTCTTGGTAAAGAGTAGATGGCAGAAGTGGTTGGTGGAAGCTGGTTCCTTCCAATGTAAATGGCCAGGTTTTTCAGTTTAGTAAGCTTGCTAAGACTTGGAATCATCTGCACCATAGGAAGGTGTTCGCCAAACTGTAAATCATATCAACTGTTAGAATACAATTTAAACAAAGCATTTTAAACTTATTACCATCAAATCGATAAACTTTAGTTCTTTGAGCTTATCACAAGACAACTGAAGCAGCTTTGAAAAGTTTTCAATTCGGTTTCCCGGCGAGAGTAGAAACCCTAAATCAAGACCGACTATTTTTTTGGTAACCACTGGGTGTCGCTTAATAAGCTCTTCCAGTTGTTCAGGTCCAAAACGAGTATATGAAAAGAGAAGTGTAATATCATTGTTGATGTGAGTGTACAAAGGGACTAGATCAAAGCCATATGAGGCCAAACAAAATAGCTCCAATTGGGAAACGACTGTAAAGTTGTCTGGTAAACGGTAGTTTGGTGGTATTAAGAGGTGCAGTTTACGAAGCGAAGACATTGTGTTGACAGTATTCCACAGCTGATCTAGGTTTGCTTTGTTTTTAGGCAAATCAAAGGCACCAAACGAAACCAGGTTAGGGCGCCAGGGTTCTAGAAACTGTGATAAGTCTAGATTGTTAAAAGAAGTACAGTTTATGAAGATGCTGGTGGCGTTTGGAAGCCTGTAAAAGACAAATATTTGGGCGTTAGTGAACTGCTGAGTCGAATCAGTAATTCAATGGGAATACCTTTGAGGAATTTGATAGAGTGTTTCACTATCTGGATTACCGATTATAATGACATCGTCAGTATTTTCACGTATGGCAAATTCAGGCAAGTCTTCAGGCACATACCTCTCTTTGGTGCTTTGCACAAACCGGTTCATTTCGTAATAGGAACCAAAGATTTTTAAAATGCGTTTTGTGGCAAAAATATGCTGAATGAGATTGTTAAATCGATGTGAGACAGTCCTTAATGAAAACAGCTGCTGAAGAGGACATTGACTGAGAATGATGCTCAGACAGTCGTCGGGTAGAGATAAAAATTCCATTTTTGAAGTTTTTGAATACTATTTATTTACTATTTTGGCTACTTTCATGCTGCTGCAGGGACAGCAAGTACTCGTGATGCAAGTGAGCACCAACTGGCATTGGAAAGATTGGCTGATTTGGTTGTCAGGTGGAGATAGAGGAACGTGGGTGAGCGGCGGCAAACTTCTAGTGATATGGCTGGAGACAGCGAGTGCATGATACTCTGTGATGATAGTAATGAGAGTCTCAAGTGCTCTCTAAACTGTCCACATTTTTTGGGGGGCACTTTGTCTCTGCTGGTCAAGTGGTCTTTTATTGATAATTTGTACTTTTTGTGTACGCATTACATCAGTCAGTCACATGACGTGCTAGTCAAACTGCTAAGCAAACTTAATTTTCTTCATTTTAAGATTGGGAAATGCCTCACTGAGCCTGGACAATACTGTCTTTTGTTGGGTGGCGTCAAAGTCTGGCGCGCGCAAGATTAGCTGCTCTAGGTTGGGAAATGTGCGAGATGTAAAGGTGAAAAACTGCTCCACTGTCAGCTCAAAGATCTCAAGTCGGAGGATTTTGACTGAGTGCAGCTGTGGCAGAGAGCTGAGATCCGCTTGCTTTAGCTGGTGACGGCCCACGTAAATCCAAAGCTCTGCGAGAGAGGTCAGCTCGGAGAGACCGTGAATAATGTCGGATAGATCCAACTGATCCCCATATTGGTTGTCCAGCTTCTTCAGTGCTTTAAAGTTCTGGCAGATGAACCAGAACAGGTGTTGGTAGTTTTTCTCCCGATCTCCGTTTTGCGAGAAGATAAAGCCTATATACAGCATCTCAAGTTGCTTCAAATTGCTGTTCTGCTCAATGGCTTTGGCCATTTGCTCAGCGCTCAGGTACACCCAGTGAATGCTTAGCTCTTTGATGGTAGTCAGCTGACTTAAAATGGGCACTAAATCAGACAGGTAGTGAACTAAACTGAAGTTTGTCAGCTGATTTAAAATTGGGTATATTGCGGAAGGTATTGGATGTCGAAAGGTGCGTATAAAGGTTAGATTAGTAAGTTTGGACAGTGTGACGAGTGTCTTCCAAAACTGCTGAAGAGTTTCCTCTAACTTGGGTAGCTCAGACATTATCAGAACTGTCAAGTTTGCCGACCATTGGTCAATTAGCAGAGGAATTTTGGACTCGATGGACTCTTTAAAGCTAAACCCAAAAACTTTCACATTAGGAAACAGTGTAGGCAGCAAAAGAGCTTTGGAAGGGTCGAAACCTTCAGGGTCAGTTTTGTTCAACAAAAGAACCGTTTCATCGAGGCGGATATCGAAATTCCTTTCTGATATAGCACGGTTGACGGCTTTCACTTCGTGACGGAACTCATAGAAATGCAGCTCAGTTGTTGTGAGCATTATCTGGCCAATTAGTAGCTTCCAACGAGTGCAGATTAAGGGTTTCAGGCGAATGAGCTCACGGACTGGCAGAGTCTGAAGAATAAGTCGAAGGACATCATCAGAAAGGGCGTTTATTTCCAGCATGATGGAAGTTGAAATGTCAAATCACTGCAAACACAAAGCGCAATCAAGTTTTCCGTTGATCAGTAGACGATTTTAAAATAAAAACTCAATTGCAGTTTTGTAGGTCAACCAGCGGTAAAATAAGTTACAGTTTGCCGCTGAAATGCAATTTCAAAAGTGTGCAGTCTATCTCATCAGCACCACCGCCTAAACACTTGCGATGGATAAAATAGCTATAGTGATCATTGAGCTTTGCCCTAGTGACGTTGTTGAGGTTGAAGCAAGTTGCTACAGCCGAGTCCTTCACATGTTGTTGATCATCTCTTCTCAAGATGATCTTGACTTTGATAAGCAGCTGACCAATGGTAGTGTAAGCCCAATAATGATCGTCTGTGATCAGGTACTACCGCATCGCAGCTCATCATAAATGGATTTTCATTGTTTAATGTTAAATTAATGTTGATATTACTTCCTTTATCAGCATTTTAAAGTAATACTTTATTAATTGTAAAATGTTAAAATTTTATCAAAATTTTTAAGTTAACTTAGTCTNCCGCATCGCAGCTCATCATAAATGGATTTTCATTGTTTAATGTTAAATTACTGTTGATATTACTTCCTTTATCAGCATTTTAAAGTAATACTTTATTAACTGTAAAATGTTAAAATTTTATCAAAATTTTTAAGTTAACTTAGTCCTTAAGAAAGTTAATGATTAGATAAGAAAACAGGAGTTTGTAACAAATGCGAACAAGTGTAATAAATTACAACTTTGGCAGACGTTATTAGTAGAAGCCAGCCAAAAGTGGGACACTTTTAGCTAGTCCCATATTTCTACAACTTGCACATTGGCCAAATGTCGTTTTAGTATTTGACGAAACATCTCTTTTTGACTGTCAAAATCAGACTTGATTGACAGTTTTGTTAAATTTGGAAACACTAACATTAGTTCGGTGAATTGGTCAAGTGTCAAGCCATAGATTTCAATTGACAGTTTGGTAATCTGAACAAGGGGAGCAAGTTGTGAAATTGGACAATCAAGTTGATCTTTGCAAATGTAAAGGGTCACAGATGTGAGGCGAGAAAACTTGCCTAATATTGGTATCAGGGTGGACAGCAGCAAACTGTCTGCCAGCATAATGTTCAGTGATCTGAGATTGGTAAAGTGCTCGGCAGCTAGACGAAGGATCAGCTCAAAGTTTTCCATTCTACTGCACAAAGTGCTGTTTATGTACTCGAGAGTCAGGTGTTCTAGCCTTTTTGCTAGATGTGGGTTTATGCGTAGTAGGGATTCAAAGTGCTTGAAGTTCAGGTAAACCCAGCAGAGGACGATTGATTGACAGTTGGGGCCTAGCTGGGCGAGAATAGGCGCCACAGGCCCTCTATAGTGAACTAGTGCAAAGTGAGAAAGGTACTTCAAGGCAGGAAACTCCGCCGGAAGTACAGAGCTAAACATGTGGACAAGGTTGAGACTGCGAAGACACGTTAAGGCGTTGATGGAAGACCAAAACAGTGGGTGCAACTTTTCAGGCCCAGGAATAGAGTGCAGCGAAAGGGTGGTCAGTTTTGGCCATCTTTTAAGCATAGCTGGAAGGTGCAGCTCATAAAGCTCTTGACAGTTGTTGATCATCAAATTGTAAATGTTGGGAAAGGTGTCGGGAATTATGCAAAACGGCTGAAGTTCTGCTTCTCTTTTTGAATCGGCTGACTTAAGAATGGCCATAGCATTTCGCGCCTTCAAATCACCGAAATCGATGATGTAGCTAAAGTGCCGTTTGGCAATTGTTATCTCGTGGCGGTTTTGGTCGTACCAAGAGCCAAAGAGTTGCAGTGAATGCGTTCTACTGCAGTGGTCGTTGATGAGAAAGTTCCAGTTGCTGTTGAGCACTCGAAGTGACAGCAGTTCAGGCATGGGGAAACGGGCAAAGATGGCAAAGAGGCAGTCAGAAGAGAGGCCGTCCATTTTGGCAAAACAAGAGAAGCTGAAAATGTATTTAGTTTTCTATTAAAAGTAGTCTAAGCTTTTGTTGCTAACGACCAGAAGCAGAAGAGATAGCTTAAATGGTGGTCTTTTATACTCAGGATACAAAGGTAAAACTGGCGGATAATAAAGAAGCAGTCTTCTGCTACATTTGAGTCTTACCGAACAAAGACTTTTTATTGTCCAGCTGGCTTGCGCAAAACACCGTACGGCAGTGTGTTTTTATGATATGGAAAAGTTTTTTTGTTTTGTAGCCAAAAATGGATGAAAATATTGTAAATATTTGGTGAATAGTGTTTGAAAATCTCAAAAATAAAAGAGAACAAACTACGCGCTCACTTGATGCAGATGATGTTTCCTGTCAGCACATCTAATAAAATCATTCCTCTAGCAGTTTTATAGATTAGTCGTCCCTTTCTCTGATTAGCTCGCTCGGAGAACAACTCGGTGATGACCGGGCAATCCAGTTCACTGTCTCTTGTGCGGTGGGTACGTGACCTTTACTACTGCACTGACTGTACCATTTGTCCGCACCGAAGTACATCTGAGCCACTAAAGCGTAACATGTCCGAATGCATGTGAAAAGTGCAAACGCTGGTAACAGAATATGCGTAGATTGTACGCTTCATTAGCTCATTATTGGAAAGTTGTCAATTTAAAAAGAGCAAGATAAAATAAAGATTGTGTTATTAATTCGCAGTTATGATCAGTGTTTTCGTTTAAAGTATAGCAGTTCATTTAGAGGTGCTGCCACTTTAACTATAGTCTGTCCGCTGTATTCTTTTCCGTGTTGGTCAATCCAGGTTCCCCGTGGGAAGTACACTGTTCGCTCTCGTTGTCCTCTGACCACAACCGGCGCCACGAGAATGTCCTCGCCAAGCAAAAACTGATCATTGACTCGGTAAGCTCTGGCATCTTCTGGTTCAGCGTACCAGAGCGGTCTAATGATTGGCTCGCCTGTTTTGAGGCGGTTCTCCGCTAGGGCAATCATCACCGAGGCGTGTTCTGCGTGCAAGTTGAGCAGTGCTTTGCTGATGTTGACAGCCCTGTCACTGTAGGCCCAGGGAGCTCGTCCAAAGGAGATTGCCGGCATGAAGGTGATTGCCTGCAGCATTCGAATGAACAGTTCTTCCTTTGGTGCACCCTTCGTGAAGCCGTAGATTCCGCCTGCACTGTACGGCAGCACAAAGGAGTAACCAGACAGGGAGACGGAGAGAAGGTTGGGAATCAGATCGCGCAGAAGCTGATCATAAGTTGTTGAATTGTAGTTGGTCAGCCTAGTCCACACGGGAAGGTGCTGGGAGCGGTAGGCAAACTCGGTGATGATCGGACCACCGACTTTGCTGACTGTTTCAATGTACCGAGTAGTGTA